TGCTAATGGATTAAGAAAGCTGGGTGAAAATCTAACAATTGAAGTGCAGCAGGTCTAGTCATTCGAATAATGGAACTAGCGAATAGCAAATGGCGACATATATGCGCATGATTATCTCACAGATAATGAGTGGCCTATAAAGGTAACATCGCTTGAGTAAAGCGCCAATCGCTCTGAGAAAGCGCGATAGATTTACCCTTCTCCGATAGTTTGGCGCCCGCCGACCAGGACCTTCTCTTGGCCCCTTACTCACCATGAACAGTAGTGACATTATGATTGGGTAGTGGGCTTGTAATGATACTCCAAGTCCGCGGCGGACGGCATCACCATACACGAATGCACCGGCAGGAATCATTGTATAAGGCAGTTAGATGGGTACTAACCTGCAACCTTTTCCAAGTCGATTTCTCTCTGATACCGAACCAAATCGCACCAAAAGAATCAAGGAGCCAACCGTGGTCGAAATTCGTCGCGACACAGCCACCTGTTTGCCTGCATTGAGATCTATTGAGAAAAAATGGTGAGACGAACTTCTTTGAATGCATAAATGAGAGGATGTATACTTATAATGTTCCAAATCTCATGCATTTGGCGTTTTCCAGGCCGCGCTAGAGAATCCAACATGGGTCCAATGGGTCTATATCACGTCTCTTGTCGTCCAAACAGGCGACAGCATACTTTTCTGGGTTGAACGTGGCTTTCCCATGTTCGCTCCATCTACTGGGAACATCACACCGTTCTCCAGGGTATTATTGAGGGCGTACGCAAGTATGCTGTTCCCGTTCAAATTGACCGCATTCTTGTTGCGACACTATCACATTCGAGACACAGACGTCGGGTTCACGATAGGATCTTGCTTTGCGTTGGCGCACACTATGACGCTAGTGGCCTATGGTCGTGGTGCTACCACTGTCGGAAGAGGCGGCATTAGACTCGAGCCTTTTGCTGGGATCATGCTTGCTCATAGCATTTGGGCCGGTGGGGCCATTGCTGGTTTACTCTGGGCTTGATGTTTGCGGGCTGAAAGAGAGGTGAAGGCGTGGATGCGCTCAAGGTAGCTGAGTATCCGAATAAGTTAGAACGATCACCATTCCTCTCCAGAAAATTGTAAATTTCCCATCATATAGAAAACCTCTTTGGCCTTCCCAAATCTAACAAAGACTATGTATACTGCATGGGTACCCTGCCTGGCCTAGCTCACTCGGAGATGCCTTTATAAGACTACGAGTATGGATGTCAATTTTCATGCAATTTCACGATAGTATTTAACAAGTCAACCCTCTAAACAAGCGTCGACTTGGTTTGAACGCCGTACTTCAAAGCCTTCGAGTAAGGGCAGATCTATACAGTGAACAGTTAGAACAACGATTACTCTGATGAACCCAAACCCGGTCGGAGAAGTGAACGTACCTTGTGAGCAAGGTCCACAATGCTCTGATCATTGACTCCCTTGATTTTCAACTCGACCAAAAGCGCAAAGCCCACCTCCTCAGGACCGATAGAGGTCAAAACCTCAACACTCGCATTCGGAATTTCCTTTCCAGCCTTCTTTGCGGCCGCATGGAGAGCGCCCAAGTAACAGGCCGAATACCCAGCTGAAAAGATTTGTTCAGGGTTCACACCGTCACCGTTGCCGCCCATTGCTTTGGGCAGAGCGAGCTTGAATGGAGCGTTCAGTGGGGCGACGGCATCGCTGACCGTGACGGATCCAGTACGACCCCCTCCGGTTGCAGTGGCGGAAGCAGTGTACTGGTTGGTGAGCAGTGTTGGGCGTCATTTTTGAAGAGATATAGATCAGAACATGATAGATTAGAGTAGAATGATGGGCCCACCTGGACTTTTGTAGGCGTAATGATGGTTCTGCATCCTTTCAATACTGGCATTCCAACGGGTCGCACCGTCTTGGTGGCATGTCTTAGAGCAGTGAACGACATCTTGGGTGAAGATAAAAGTGATAAAAGAGTTGTGAGATGACTCTTGTTAGTGTGTTTTTTGAGGTTTGGTAGATTGTCGAAAGAGTCAAGTGACAGCACAAAGCAACTCGATGTGGGTTTGATTGATCGAACGGGCATCTGAGGCCGACTTTCACGCACTTCAGGTAATACTGAGGATGACTGTGTTTATAAAGTACATTCCATCACAAGAATAACTACAAAAAGAGTGGTCGTTGCAAAACTCGTTTGTTTGTCCGCGCATATCCCATACGCGTGTCCATGAAAGAATAATCCAAAGGTGAAGATAACCAAAAAAATAGTGTGATGGAAGAGA